AGCATTGACTATGTATTTGAATTATTTCGACACGTAAGTTTCTATAGCAACCATGCAAACAAAGTTATTATGCATAACATTTTATGAACATCGACCTCGGTAATGAATAATTTGTTCCAAATTTGCTAACTACAATAATGGTTTTTGTATACCAACATTATTTACAATCTCTTAAAACATCGAATATTGTACAGAAACTTCATGTCTCTGAAATTAGTACAATAAAATTACATACGTCATCAAACAATTGCCGGGAGTATGGCGTTTTTATTTACTCGTAACATAGAAAACAAGAATTACATATCGACAATTGAAACACTTCGAAACATAAATTTGACTCATCATTACTAAAAACACTTATTAAAAATGAAATGAAACGTGCAGTTCGAAACATTCGTAAAAGAAAATTCAGAACTTCCAGAAACTGTTGTTTAATTTGAAGTGTGAAGTTTTGAAGGTGCGCCTGTGTTCGGCGCCTTGTCCTAGCGATTCTAACCTTATTAGCTGATGACTTATTAGCTGATAGGTAACTAACTCCTCACTGTATTGTTCAGCGACATTAGTTGAACGCCATTCGTATTTTTCTCTTCCATACAAATTTATCATATTCTTTTTCAGCTTATTTTCTAGGTATTAGCGACAATTCTGCTTTAGCAACTTCAACAATTACTGCCTCTGGTAATTCCTCTGGTAAATTCATTTCGCAACGAACATTAAACACTCCGGCCAACCTCGGCCGCCCCTATTGTAGTCGGCCTTCGTCTACATTATGTACGAAACTTACCGTTCTACTGCCAGGTTCAGTAACCATTTTACCTTGTAATCATTTTATAAAGATGTTATACAAGAAAAGGCGTATGTAATTCATTTATAATGTTACTTTTTTGCACTCATAAGAACAACAGTATAAACTAATGACATAATACACTATTGTAGAACATGGTTTACTTTTATGTAATATTTATATTAGGGAAATTGTGTTTTATTAAAAAACGCACATTCTTTCAAATCAAAAAGAATGAATGAACGTTATGATCGACTTCTCATTTTTACGTTCTTACATAGTGTGCAAGTACCGATTTTTCAAATGAATGTGACACACAACTTATATTTATTAAACTTAACCAGAACCTTATTCACATAAACATACATAACAGTCGCCTTTTAATGTTAGATTTGCATGTAACGCTAGATTCGCATACAAAACAATAGAGCAATTGAGAAATAGAAGTGAACACAAATTATACTGAGTTTGTGAAGTTTCAATCTCTTCAAATATTTGGGATCGGCCCGAATTGCCGAGATTACTAAGGCAGTAGTGCCGTAGAGATCCCGGACCGAAAGATCGCGGGTTCAAGTCCCGCCTGGGACGTGATTGTGTTGTGTTCGCCCTTTCACTCCTTTCATCATTATCGTGTCTTCCTCATCGTTACCATACCGTAATACGCAATAGTGGTCGCTAGTGACCTAGAAGTTAATGCGATTTTTAATTAAAAAAGTTAGGGAGAAAAATATGGAAATGTAAAGGAAATCCGGGGAAGAATCATTAGTTGTAAAAGATGTTGCGACAGAAGTTTTGGAACTAATAGGAAATGATCTGCAGTTTTGCATTTAGCATTTGTGCTATTGCATGTGTGCTATGTACATTTTTGTGCGTATTAGCAGAAAAGCGTAAAAATGTATCTGTTCTAAATTTTAACTATTAGAATCAAAACTTGCAAGTATTTATTACGGCGATTATAATTTTGAAATTTCAATTAGACGCCTTCATATCTCGTATCGAGATAACATACAATGCCATTGGGTGTTGGGAGCTTTTAAACGGCAGTATAACATTATCAGCTAATACGATTCATTGGTAAAGTCCAATGATTGATACTGAAAGAACATATTTGAACAAAGTTGGCATGAAAGAAATGTTCAACACATGAAACTATTTTTAAATCAATTCACAGCATTGGCGACGTCACATTTTACTAGTATAAATATTATTAGGTAAATAATTCATAGAAGCTCTTACATTAACTCTTGTGATTACATCGCACAAAAGAAGAACTGTAGAAAAGTTACAGCAGAAAAATGCAGCATATGTACTTACTTTACGAAAAATAGAAAACCCAAAAATTATTGTTTTATGTTGGTTTATGTTCTTCACTTATTCCCCAATATTAATTTGAAATGGAAGTGATTTACAAATTCTGGAACAATACAATCAGTATGGGTTATCAGAAGAATATATCAGAAGAAATGAGTTTTTTGTATTAATTTGAATATATTGTTAAAATTAAGGTTTATTCTGTAAACCAGACTAATAACAGTAGACGATAACATCTGAAGTCCATTACCTTCCATTTAAATAAAAAAAATATCACGAACTTTGATTGACTTTTGATTCAAATTTCTTTCTAATCGAAAACCTTTAATTTAAATTTATATATAACTCGAAACAGTTATGTCCACTTTATTAAGGATTTAATAAACAAATACAAAGTTTGAAAATAGTTTGGAACATTCACTAATGTCATAAATGTTAGTTTTATTTTTTTTGATTTGGAGAAAATGAAAATGCGAAAACATTTTCTCGTAGTCTCAGCACTTTGAAATGTGAGAAAAGCACGTGAAGGCGAAGGAAGTGCACAGGCGATTACACGAGTTTTTACACGAAATCTCATTCGTGATATTTTTCAAAGTATCTATATTATTTCTGTTACATTTGAAATGGCAACCTAAGTATGTTACATTTTTGTAAAAGTATCACGACCGAAAGATCGAGGACTGATGGGAAGAATTGAATTGCTTAACATTGAGATTCAAAATGCTCAATATCAGCATATGAAATGATGGTTACCAGACGATAATCCTAATCTTGGCTGGTGTGTAAACAAAGGAAAACATTAATAGCTCTTTCCTTGTATTTTCCTCTTGAATTTGTGACGTCGAATGTGATATTGAATGGCAAAATAATAGTGATGTCGCAAAGAAAAAAAGATAAATGGGCAATAGTTATATAAAATAAACATTTTTGTAAGTAATTTCATTTAATTAATTAGAGTAGACATCTTTTTGCGCAATCCTTTTCGTCCTTTCTGCTGACGAATGATAAGTTCATTCCCGTCGCTAATTAAAAATTAGCTTCAGTTCAACAAAATGTGAGTTGTTCTTTAGAAAAAAACAAAATTCAAGTGACAACAAAATAACAAAATATGAGAGCGTCGCATCACCTTCACGAAATGCCCTTAATACCGTGGAAAACCTCGGGATCCCCTGATCCTGCGCATCGAAGAACGCCAGCCGTATTTCCCCAGCGAAAAGCGTTACAAAGAGCGTACAACATATCGGTATATTCTTAATTCAGGAAGATGGATTGCATTTTGTACAACTAGCTTGCAGTATTATACCTACAATCACAACGGTCAACTCACATTTAACAGATTAGGATTTTTCAGAATTTACGGCTGGAGCAAAGGACACTACTGCGCGTCGATTTCAAATTATTGTTCAGTCAATTAGCTCTTATCAAGGACTCTTCGAAATAGCACACATGTTCATGCAAGGTTTTTTCTTTGAATGACCAAAACTACCATAATATTGCAGCTGTGGTTACCCAGGGCAACATCTGATGTCAATGCAGTACCTCTGACCAGGTGATGGTACGCTTCGAGTCCCGTCAGTGACAGAATTTTCGACACTAGCTAGGTAGTTTGAATTCAGCCTGTCTGGAGAAGAGTTCCATCGGCCGGATGCTCTGATCGGTAGTTTTCATTGGGGTAACCGATCAATATCAGGCGAATCCCGAGCACTACCCAAACAAACAGGCCACGACCGCACGTGATCTTTCCTTCTTCTCTTTTTCCTATCCTTACCCCTTACACACACTTACTCTAGCATGCTCCTCACTAACTACACAAGTGGAAAGGGCAGTCAGGAGCTTAAAGCTTGTTCCGATTGCGAGGGGAAGGTGAAAGAGACTTGATGGGAACACCTAGTTAAATCGACGCTCCCGTGATCAGCATTGAGTGGTGAAATAACAGCCACCTCCTGTAATCAAAACAGGCACTGCACTTACGGAACTAATGATTACTGCAGTTGACCCATCCGGAAATAATCAATAATTAACATTTCCTCCTGTGGCACTCTGACGTTTGCTTCGTTTGGTTATGTGTTTCAGGTGATGTTTGGCGTGTTGGATTGTAGGATACTCATTAGAATATTGGTCTTACGTAATAGTTATACTAACAGAAAATGTTCAATGGAGTAGATCAAATTAAAATTTAAAATAAAAATATTTGTAAGAAAAGTCTTGTGGAAGAAATATATTTTAAAACCACGTAAAATTTTATTTTTTAATGAAACTTTGACATTAAAATAATTAAAATTAAAAAAATACTTACAGGGATTAAAGAGTTGAAAAGTAGCTAACTTTTTCATTGAAAATAATTGACAATCAGTTTTTCCGCGTATCGCTTAGGGGTAGGTTTTACCACAACATTTTCTTCCCTTCGGAAGATAGTTATAATTTCAAAAGGGATTCGAATAGAAAACAAAGCTATTGGAACGTTAATAAAGTAATTTGAAAGCATAGAAGCTATCTTCTGAAATGATGGATATGAAGATTAGGGTATACTGATATACATCACATACTATAAGTATATTATAAGTATGTGATACTGAAGGTTAAAATCAAATTTTGACGTAAATTAAAGACCAGAATTTGGAACACGATATTTTTAAAAAACGACACTGTTGTATTATTGCAGATTGTAGTTTTCTGCATGCGTGCTTATTAAACTTAATTTCATAAATTAAAAATTATTTGGTAATACTATGCCCAACTACTTTTTTATTTATTGCTGAGCTTTTATCTAATTATCTGCGTAGTCGAATCTGCCCGCTCCCCATTTCATTCGCGTAAATGTCCTTATATAGATGTGAAAGATGCGCGCGTTTTATTCGAAGCGTATGTTTTCCGCGCTTTGCGATGTGCACCAGCGTCCAGGCAGATGGCTGCGGTTCCTCGGGCGTTCGTGGAAGAGGAGGCATCGACACTTTTACGAGTGCGGCCTTCGCTTGGCGGATGCGGATGGGCAGTGGATGTGGCGGCAGCCCCCCCCCCCCCGCCAGTACTTCACAGGCCTCTCTGCTATTTTCGTCCACAAGCACGCACATCGCAACAGCAGCGCCCGCTGGAGGCCAGCCTCTCCACCGCGGCAGCAGGGAAGGCCGGCGAAAGGTTGTGCAACCGCTTCTCGCCCAAACGGAAGCGGGGCTGCAGCCGGGCGTCACGGCCATAAAACGAAATTCACATTAAGAGAGATGCGAAAATAAATGAAGATAATTGAAAATTGCGCAATAACGGTGCTGTGTATCTTGATCACGTGAAATTGGGTTGGATCTTGAGAGTAGGTACCAGAGCGCAGCCGCAGCATTGCCGGTGTCTCGGCAGCGGCTCTGGCCGGTAGGTTCTAGGGTTCGAGTTCGCACGAAGGAGCATTTCCAACACTAGCTAAGTAGCTGGGACTTTTTCAGTCGCTGTCTGAAGCAGAAGGTAAGCAGCCGATGGCTCTGATTGATGGTTTTCCGTGCTGTTTTCCGATCAGTACCAGGCGAACGCCCGAGCAGTCCCCTAACAAACGGGTCACGGACCGCGTGCATTCTCTCCATCCTTTTCATTGTCCTATCCTTACCTCTTACTTACATACACTGCACTACCACACATGTCAGGAGAACAATCAGAAGCGTAGAGCTTGTTCCGGCTGTTGCGAGGTGTAAGTCGGCGCGGGATCGCACTGTTCAGCCGGAGCGAGCCACCTCCAAGCATACAGAGCATTCACTACACTAACGATGACTAATGATCATAGCAATTGATGTGCCCGGAGACATTAATTATTCAATCAGTTAATAAAGTGTCAGTTAAAACAGCACTATTATCTACTGGACAACGTTTTGGGGATTTCGACGGTAATCAGAGATCAAAGAGTGAAGACCAAGAGTATATTGCTAACATGTAAACAATGCGTCACACAATACTTATGTTCGACTTAAATATTCAAAGTGTTCCAGTGTGAATGCATCCACTCTGCGTGTGAAGTGAAGGAAACAAGAGAACTAACTAGAGAGGAGAACCGACCAATATTTGCTTCGAAAATGGTACATTTTGTCTAGTGTTATCTTAAATTTTTAGACTTCCTAGAAAGAAGTTACTTACTGGAAAAACCTTCAGTTCAAAGCCAATATTTTTGTTAATAAAGCAGTTTCTAAATATTGCATATTTTTGTTAGAAAGTAGGGCGTGAAGCATTCTACAAAGGGAAAAATTATTTAATAAGGCAAAGAGCAGATACGTGAAATTGATTGCAATTGCTCACGTACTGTCTATCTGTACTGGCCCAACAGCCACTGACGGGGCCAAGAGTATGACGGGACCAGCGGATTCCCGACTTTGCGGCCATGGGTTAAAGGGTACATGTGATTATCACACAGACATCCCTACGTGTCTGGTCTTCTAAACCTAAGAAGTGAGCTTTTCATTCATCGTCACAGAAACTGAGACATGGCTTACACTATAATCTGCCCAACCGTCAATCGAGCCCGGGATCGCGTCATGGAAAGCGACCACGCTGACCAGTGAGTTACTCTGAGGTCCCTGCAAACATATTACCCTGGAGAAATACTGAGACGTTTGATCTTGACAGCCGCTTGCAATTTTGTGATTGTTACAAATACGGACCTGGGAACACTGCTAGGTGACAAACGCCGGATTAATCCGACGTCTAAAATGCCAAATACGTACGTACACAATATCGGTTTCGAGATTTCAACGAAATTAAAATTTGGGGTCTCCTGACACCGAAAAAGCCTTTTTAACTCAGATAATTGTGGGTGTGTCAATTCGGATAGCAGAGATTGCTGAGGCAGTAATGTCGTGGCAATCTCGGAGCGAAGAGTCGCGGGTTCGAATCCCACCTCGGGTATGGATGAATTTGTGACCGTCCCTTTTCCCTTCATCGCCATCATCATCAACATCATCATCATCATCATCATCATCATCATCATTCTATCGCTTCGTTAAAGGAGGATTAATAATTATCTGCGCGGGCAAGAGGCCCTTGCACTTAATGGGATGTGCAGTTTGATAATAAAAACATGTGGGAATGCTCGTGAAATATTGTTGACGTAACTAAATTGTGAAGTAACTGAGTCGACTTTTATAATAAGTTGATGAAGATGACTTCAGCTATTTCACCACTTTTTTAAACGACCGACCGTCTGTCCGTTCGTCTGTGTTTTTCTTTTCGTTCGTGCATATGTCTGTGTGCCTAAACTGTTGTCTAAAAATGTCTGTCTATAATAAGTTTGTTTTTACTACGATTCTCTTTTGATTGAATTATAATGGGGCGATAACGAGCACACCAAATATTCTGGTTCTACTGTGCGAGGTGAAATGGTCCATTACTGGCGGAGACATAGCTTGTGGTTCAAAGCAGTTACGTGCTACATATAGCGTTGCTCAGGCACACTCTTTGCTAGTGAAGAGGGGAGTCCTAACAAACATCATATTTCAATTCTATCCTAATTCACTAATTCTCGTATTAGGGACACTGAATAGTATCTAAAATTCGACAGTAATTCTCAGAAATGCAGGGTTTGTTGTTCACATTGGCACTTCTAAATCTTTTTCTTTGCTATTTACTTTTTTGGATTATGTGACGTGAGATAGTTTCGGTGTGTTTATGTATGCCCTACAGAACTCTATTTAATTCTGTGCGGGTGTAAGACTTAATTTAACATAGGCTTCTGAGAAAAATGATACAGTGATTTTCCACGGTTGTGTGAAAAAACATATTTGGACCATTTTTTTCCAAACAGGACGATTTTACGAACACTTTTTCTGACTGAGATAGAAGTGCTTCCTATGGTCTATAAATTGACGATTAATTAGTTAAATTAGAACCAGGACTTCAACTTACAGCTTTCTGCTTATGCCATTTTTTTAGCATATTTTGCTCTATTCGAGAGGAGAGAAATTGATAATTTTGTTCAGTCTTCATGTAAATCACCCACAAAAATTAAAATATCCATTTCAAGTTCAACGAAACAATCAGATGGGTTGAGGAATATAAATTTTCGTGAACGTGCTATTTGCAATTTAACCTGCAGCCCAGACCAAAGAAACAGACATTTTGCCACAAAAAATGTTTAGATATCATGGCCCACGAAACATGGATTCTGCCTGCACTTGGTGGAGGAAGTAATTTATTACTTATCGAAACAAGATTTATACATTTTCTGTAACGTTTCTCTATCAGGGACCCATAAAACCATTTTTTAAACGAAAAATCTCCATCCGCCATAACATTGGAATACTTTCTCTGTAGTTTTCGAGAATGTAAAATGTGCCCAGAGTAAGCATTTATAGAGAAAAACTGTTTGTGACACAGATTTGCCAAATTCTCATTCTCAAATATGAAAGTATGAAGGGCTTTATCAAAATAGTATACAATGAAAAACCTTTATTAATAATTGTATTTTTTGTTTAGTTAACTAAATATACTCATTAATTCCATAAAAAACGTTTTATCAATATGTTTATGGCATGCGGGCAATTAAAAATCCACAACTGCCGGTCAGACGGAGAGAACTGATCGAAATTGTTTAATTATGTATCTATAACACAGACGTAGCCAAAGTATTTCCAGACGGCCATGAAACGCGAACAAAAATGTACGTCACAGAATATATATTCATCAAAAACATATAATCAATGAACGAATGAAACAAAATTAAAAACGATTAATTATTACTTATTAGACAATGATGTTAATATTTGTAATACAATAAGTTAAATTGGAAACTTTTACCCTACTCATACTCGGCATCGATCATTCTAACCCAGATGTTGCTTTAAATTGCACAGATTTGTTTATTTCACCTATATGAACATGGCGGCCTAGAGAGAGAGAGAGAGAGAGAGCAGTAGTTTTGGAAAATCTCCTTTATTTGTTTACAACATCTAGTAAATTGTTTATAAATGAAAATATCGATATTCTCCTTTACACGCCTCGTCTTCTTTAACATAAACAAGTACGACCAAAAGCCAATTGGTTTGACACCAGGTAACTAATGGGATAACATAAACATTTTTAACGTGAATAAATGTGTTACGTTTAAAACATTTGATCTTTGCATATTACAAATATAAAAAATGTAATGCTATATTTACCCCCTCTGAAAAGTACAGCAGCAACACGTCTCAGTCAGAACTGAATCGATTTTCTCCTTTCCAATGTTAACACGTGTTGTTATCTCATATATGCCCTTACTTTTCGTACGAAGTAATGTTTCTTCTAATATTTCAACCAGAATGCGTTAAGTATTTTCGATTTTCATACATTATTAAGACACTATAGTGATATTAAATGTACACTGCAAGGACTACGAAAATTGGTATTGTTCAGAATCAATATGACGTCATAAAATTCGTATCTCAAATAGAAAACATATGATTAAATTTATCAAAATGAAAACTATTCATTATCGGAAACGAAAAAAGAGTTAATGTAACACGTGGACAAAGGGGTACAATTACACTCGTGGTAAATAAAAAAAGTCTGTCTCTTATGGTTGCTCGTTTTCTTGAATACCACTCATGCAATTATACACCTCTTTATATCCTCGTTTCGTTAATTACTATACTATTTATTGAATATAATTTAAAATTACTTTTTATTTAAACATTTTTATTTGATTGTAGTTGATAAATATGCTCTGCTATGCATTTAACTTCAAGACTTTGTTGATTTTCTTTCCAAATGAATGTAGCTGTGATCATGAATTTTTGTGAATATTATAATCTTTCAAACATTGTCTTCTAATAGTGGTACATATTCATTAAATTCATACCTGGATGATTTTTGTTATTCATTCAAGACAGACAACGAAACATTTTCGGATTTTTATCACTCAGGATTTTCATCACTACCTCTCGCATCACTTTCTATCACGTCACTCCGATGGGTTTAAGAGTAGCCTTAGGATAGCTTCATGATGCTGAATCCAAAAAGCTCTTTGATTTTGGTACATTGGCCCTAGGTTTAAAACAATGTATTGCATTTAATGGAAAATAAAAAAAATAAATAAAACCGAAAAATATTAGGCGTACATGAAAAATGATGATTAAAAAAGAATGCAATCGTTCAACTATGAAATATTACCAGATAAATAGAAACTGAACTATAACTGAGGTCTGATAGCATTCATTTCACAATATTGCATTGCAAAT